CCTGACCCAATTTGTTTGTGAATGCTGTGATATTGTCTACCCTGTCCCAATGTGTTTGTGAATGCTGTGATATTGTCTACCCTGATCCAATGTGTTTGTGAATGCTGTGATATTGTCTACCCTGACCCAATGTGTTTGTGAATTCTGTGATATTGTCTACCCTGATCCAATGTGTTTGTGAATGCTGTGATATTGTCTACCCTGACCCAATGTATTGTGAATGCTGTGATATTGTCTACCCTGTCCCAATGTGTTTGTGAGTTATGTGATATTGTCTACCCTGACCCAATGGGTTGTGGATGCTGTGATATTGTCTACCCTGACCCAATGTGTTTGTGAATGCTGTGATATTGTCTACCCTGACCCAATGTGTTTGTGAATGCTGTGATATTGTCTACCCTGACCCAATGTGTTTGTGAATACTGTGATATTGTCTACCCTGACCCAATGTGTTTGTGAATGCTGTGATATTGTCTACCCTGTCCCAATGTGTTTGTGAATGCTGTGATATTGTCTACCCTGACCCAATGTGATTGTGAATACTGTGATATTGTCTACCCTGACCCAATGTGTTTGTGAATGCTGTGATATTGTCTACCCTGTCCCAATGTGTTTGTGAATGCTGTGATATTGTCTACCCTGACCCAATGTGATTGTGAATACTGTGATATTGTCTACCCTGACCCAATGTGTTTGTGAATGCTGTGATATTGTCTACCCTGTCCCAATGTGATTGTGAATACTGTGATATTGTCTACCCTGACCCAATGTGTTTGTGAATGCTGTGATATTGTCTACCCTGTCCCAATGTGTTGTGAATGCTGTGATATTGTCTACCCTGACCTAATGTGTTTGTGAATGCTGTGATATTGTCTACCCTGTCCCAATGTGTTTGTGAATACTGTGATATTGTCTACCCCGACCCAATGTGTTTGTGAATGCTGTGATATTGTCTACCCTGACCCAATGTGTTTGTGAATGCTGTGATATTATCTACCCTGACCCAATGTGTTTGTGAATGCTGTGATATTGTCTACCCTGACCCAATGTGTTTGTGAATGCTGTGATATTGTCTACCCCGACCCAATGTGTTTGTGAATACTGTGATATTGTCTACCCTGACCCAATGTGTTTGAGAATGCACAGAATAAATTATTTATTACCATAAATGATCTATCACTGAAAAAGGAAAAACATTTAAATTATATGTATACTATAAATATATTTGTTTATGTATATAGATATGAGAAGATGTGGTATGAGTTCCAATGAGACAACTCTCCATCCAAGTCAAAATTTATAAAAGTAAACCATTATAGGTCAAAGTATACACTTTCTTCTGTAGGTGGCTCATTTCTGTAGCAACTCATCAATATTTCAAATAACCATTTATTATAAAGGTTACACATTCATTATTAATGAGAACTTGGAAATGTTTTATTATTTTGCTTATCTTTCATTTTCTGACCAATAAAGAGGATCATTTTATTGTTACAAGCTATATTGAACACTATGAAACAAACTAAAAAATTGTGCCACTTTTGAGGGTCAGTATTTAACATCATTTTTTTTAAATTTCATGACCTCTATGTTCTGGCTATGCCAGACACAATTTCTCAATCAAAGAATATCATAATGTCATAAATGCAAGTTATTCTTTTATTACATGTATCATTCTCTCATTATTCACAGATTCACAAAATAATTTCAAGTATATTAGGGAGAGAGAGGATAAAAAGGGAATATCTGAAGATTATTACTTTTGTTTTGCCCCTTCAAGGTATGGCAATAGGCTTCTTTTCCAAGAAATTTGAATCACAAATCATGTGACTAACTTCAATTTTTTTTAGGACTCATTACTGACGACATGATCAGAGTAAAGATCAACATTCAAGTCCAAAAGCAGTAACCTCTTGACCTTGGTTAATCTAGATAATAATGACATCAAATCCATGAGGTTTTTCTTTTCCAGTCTCCTTCATTAACAGGAAGCTTAAGACTTCAAAGCAAAATCCAAATGCTTCATAATTATTTGAACTTAATATACCCAACTAGACATTGGTAAACTGCATGTGTATTGGACAAACTTCAAAAAGAGTGTCTTTAAGTGCATAACCATATATAAAAGAAATATATAAATACAAATTTTCTGATTATGTCAATATCATAAATTTAGGACATCCTTAGCTACAAGATCAAAAGTAATATGGTTCAGGTAATTTAATAATACATGTCATCAACTCATGCTGGAACACAGCTAAAACCAAAACATTACTATGGTTTGACAAAATATAGGTAATCAACATGTATCAGCTGCAAAAACTCTCATATTTCATATGTGAATAAATTAAAGAATACAGATTATTAAGTGTGTTAATTGCTTTTATTCATTCTCTCAATTTAACATAATTTGAATAATCTAATGTATGTGTCTTCTTAAATTCCTCAATAGATAAATTGATGGCAATGTATTTGCATTTAAATTGGGCAGTAAAAAAAGTGTTTTATGAATAGTGACTGTTGGGTATCAAATTAAACTAAAGTAAATTTACTTGCACTTATAAAAGCCATACAAAATTAGAAAGAAAAAATCAAAAATAGACTTTCATTTAAAAATGACTGAATATAAAATTAAGCACAATATATAGGCAAACTAGTTTTCAAGTTGTCTTAAAAAGTTCTAAATCATTTTTAAATTCACAATTCAAACAGAGCTATTAATGGTTAAGGAACAAAAATGGTCTTGTAACATCCAAAAATATATGTGACCAGGATAAAGAAATTTAGTTGAACAACAGTATTGTTAGATGTTTAATATTTTGTATGAGTTTGTGACATCCTACCATTTATAATTTTTATTCAATGTTTAGTATTGTGTATTGAGACATCTTTTCATTTACATTATATCCATAGTCATAGAAATAATAATAAAACAGCAGCAGTCAGGAGCCTGTAGTTCAGTGGTTGTCGTTGGTTCGTGTCTGTCATATTTGTTTTTCTTAAATTGTTTTTTTTATAAACTAGGCAGTTAATTTTTCTCAATTAAATTGTTTCATATTTTTCAGGTCCAGCCTTTTATAGCTACCTATTTGTTACAGGTTTTTCTCATCATTGAAGAACGTATGGTTGCCTATAATTGCTTTCATCCACTTCATCTGAACTTTGGTGGATAGTTGTCTCATTGGCAATGTATACCACATCTCCTTATTTTTATATGACGTAAAAAAAGATCTATCAATTGTCTTCTTAAAATCATTCAGTTGTAAAAGTAACACAAATGGAGCAGGATCTGATGACCGTTTCGCAGCACCTGAGATCACCCCCTGGGAGGGGAAATTTCATGTAAATCATAAATACTGAAGGTTTTGTTCAGGACAGACCAATGTTTTGTTTAAGTATAAAATGATCCACAGCTCTGCAAAGTAATTTAGTTCAGGGTTCTTTCTCACTTACATGTAGATGAGTCCATGAGTTTTTAACTATTAAAGTAGACCAGAGTAAACATATGAGTGCCAAACTTAAGCCATATCAAGATTCTATGAGCTGAGTCTTGAAATTCTTTCATTACAAATTAATTAAATTGTTGTCATTCAAATTTAAATCGTAATCATCATTTTTTTTTTACCAATAACTTTAAGGATAAATTAAGGCCTTGATTATGTTGATATTAGTTCCATGGATTCTTAATGGACAAAATTTTTTGGAAATATTATTTTTCTATCTTGAGATCAATCATGTCAATATGGCCCTATCTAAGAACTCAGTTACACATTGAAAATGATCAACTTTCAATCAGTGTATATATTATACTTTTATTGGTGTTATAAATCTCACCTTTAAATAAAGGATTATGGAATTTAAAACCATGAAAGAGAATACAATTGTCATTTCTTATCAGATCAAAGCTAACAAGGTGCAATTTGCCAAACTTTTAACCACGTCCTGTCATATAAAATGAGACACAAGTTCATGAATTCATAAAAAGGCGTACTTGAAACAAAAGTGTATACATGTACAACAAACAACATTACATAAACAAAATTATAAACAGTACAAACATGTATAAATTTTGTACACTCAGTAACACTGTTACAACTGTAAAAGGAACTAAGATATTTTAACCTAACAAAATACACTGTATGATCCCTTTAAAAACTGTAACAGTATAATAATAGACTATTTCCTTTGTACAGTGCATTGAATTGTGTATCAAGTGATCTACATGCATTTGAAATCCAAGAAAATTGCAATATATATGTCACAGATGGGAAAACACCAACAAGAATTAGATTTTGACAAAATTTAATTCAAGCTGCTTTCCTTATACATGTAAATTGTTTTGAGATCTATGGTGTTCACTTAAAAGTTTAAATTAACTTGTTAATAACTCTATATGTATGTACATTTTGTAAACATGCGTGAACAGTCAAATAAATCTTTTATAACACCAAAGTTATATAATATTATATAAATATTATCTAAATCGTCAAATTTAAATATTTTCCTATGTCAATCTTGACAATTCATATTTTGAAACTTTTTTTTACTCATGTTGGAATTTAATAGCTTCACCAAATTTAAATATCTCCAGAAAAAGAAAGAATTCACTTTAACTGGGTAGTACATTAGTACATTAGTATGATATCCTTTTTTTTCAAATTGACAAGACAACCAAGATTTCTAAGAAATTGGGTATATTCGGTATTCAGCAAATGTACTGAAAAATCTTCGCTAGCCAAGGATTATGTATTGTAGATGTTAGATGGGATCTCCTGTAGTTGGTGATCGCAATACTGGTATACCAGTATTGTGCAGATGTTGGTTGTATCTCATTTTACAGTAACAGTCTATGTACATGTAACTGCTGTAAGAAAAATGAACCATGTCCTTTGAACAGAGTCATTTTTAACGTGCAAGAGAAAACACAACCTTTATCAAAGACGTGTTTTACATGGCCTCGTTCATTAATACGAATTGATTTCTTGCAATGACTATCTTACTTGTTTTTCTTTCAGGTTTTCAACTGGTGCCAGCTGGGCTAACCGTGATTTACTCTTCTGACCGGTGGCAGGTTCCATCGTTCTCCCACCTCCTACAACCGGAGATTTTGGTTTATCCGACATTTTTTTCACTTTTTGTCCATCAAATGAAAATGTCTTGTATTTTATTCAGTTGTTTCAATAACTGGTGACTCTCTTGGAAATATTTTAACACATGAGACCAATATAAACATTACTTCTCAATCGAATCGTGTCGAATCGCTTCACTGGACGCCATCTTGTTTACAGGTAACCATGTGTACACTTGAGGGCGCCCTTTACAAACAAGAGCACAAGTGACAGCGATTTCCGATTTCGCAGGTGCCCGATATGTGGATTTTGTTAATTGCTGTCAAAATTATGGGTTTTTTTTAAAGAAAAAAAATCAATTAGATCTGAAAGCAATAAATGGAAAGGAGTTGAACCCGAAATCACATGAATTTCCTAAAAAAATCCTTTCCTCAATAAATTTTCCTTCATTTTTTTTTAAAGAAGAATAATTATATTCATGATTTGCGATATAAATATGTTTAGATTAGAAAAAAAACCTTAGACCTTATTTTAATAAGCTAAAAGGAAGAGCCAGGCAAGATAAGCACAACCTTGTTTAATTCAACATATACAAACCAGAGACTCTAAAATATTATTGTATATGCCTGTGCAAACAAACAAAAAATTCAAGTTTGTTTTAATACTCCTAACAACCTAGTTGGATAAACATGGGACTACAATGGCTATTAAGGATAAACTCATGGTCTCTTTGGGGGACATAAACAGTTCTAGATAAACACCTTAGTTGAATTAAACTCGTAGTACTTAAAAAAGAAAATAGAGGAGAAAACTCTCGTCTGCCTTGCCTTAAAACAAATCCGCAGAAAAGAGGGAGGTTCAAACAAACCAAAACCCAAGCTCTTTTGATCATCTGCAATAGAAATTGTCCCGAGACTTTTAATTATCGGTTATGTATCACTCATACATGTCTAAAACTTATCCAAATGTCGATATCGTCGATATCCACAAATTATGTCGACACGATATCGATGAACTCGTACACTCATTACATAACCAGATGTCGATTTTGATGACGACACCAATGACAAAATTTGATGCCGATATCGTCAATATCGACATTGTCGACTCGATATCGATGATGACTTCAAATAATGAAATAAAAATTAGACATATCAAGCTGATAAAACTAAGACCGAATATAAGGATTTATATGTAGGTATATATAGATGATGGCTGAATTGTAACCAATTCAATATTTTTTAAGACAATTAAGTGGTCACTTCTCCAAATTACTGTTAGTTGTTTAGCCGGTATTAGTGTAATCTTTGTTGAAGACTGTACGGTGACCTATAGTTGTTTAGCCGGTATTAGTGTAATCTTTGTTGAAGACTGTACGGTGACCCATAGTTGTTTAGCCGGTATTAGTGTAATCTGGTTGAAGACTGTACGGTGACCTATAGTTGTTTACATCCTCATCCTTTTTGTGTCTGGTGGTTTGTTGTCTCATTAGGAAATCTTACAACATCCCTCATCTTTATATGTCATTAAGCTACACAAACAAAGCTAAATGAAATGAATAGAGAAAATAAATATGAAGAAAATGTTTAAGTGTTGATATGGCATTGATATCGTTGACATCTGAAAACAGACGAACCAGGAGACACTAAATTGATATAAGAAGATGTGGTATGAGTGCCAATGAGACAACTCTCCATCCAAGTCACAATTTGTAAAAGTAAACCATTATAGGTCAAAGTACGGCCTTCAACACGGAGCCTTGGCTAACACCGAACAGCAAGCTATAAAGGGCCCCCAAAATGACTAGTGTAAAACCATTCAAACAGGAAAACCAACGGTTTAATCTATATAAAAAACGAGAAACGAGAAACACTTATGAACCACACCAACAAACGACAATCACCGAACATCAGGTTCCTGACTTAGGACAGATGCAAACAAATGTAGCGGGATTATACGTTTTAATAGGAGCCAACCTTCACCCTACCTGAAACAATAGTGAAACATCACAACATAGAAAGACACACTATAAAATATCAATTGAAATGGCTTAACTCAATCAAAAGACATATTAACAAAAACAAGTGAACATACACTGAACGAATAAATTTGATCTATGACACAATGTAAATACAAAATTAATAAAACAAGGGGTTTAGACTTAGAACAATATCAGAAAGACAACCATAACCTTGGACAAAATGCCGCCAAATAAAATAACGTTCACAGGTAAATAAAAATAATTTTGTTGTAAGGTATACATGGAGTACGGAAATAATTAAAAAAAAAAATAATTTTGTTGTTCCTAGTATGAGAACAAAAGTGAAAATTTATCGTCATACTAAACACTTATCAAAGGTGGTATATATAAAAAAAATAGTGAGACTAGATATAACACTGAATAAGTAAACATTAAATAACAAAAATACATTACAAATTGTATCAACAGGTCAAATTAACACGAAAGTACGATTTGAGAGTACTCGCAGTTACTGAAAGCTAGTTAAAAGCCAAAAACAATTAATAATAAAAAATCATGCATCAGAGACTAAAATCAACTAAAACACATCCCAGGGATTTAGTGTTTTAACGTCATGAACAGTCAAAGAAGACATGACTTGTGCAATGCCAAAATAAAAGTATCGACAGGCAGTAGGATAGTTAGGAGTTAACCTGAGTGTTTATAAATATGTATAATGTAATATATAGATAGAGTAATCTCTATATAGAAAATGAACGCGGATGTGTATTTATACATCCCAATAAACTGTTATCACAGAGATATGTCTCGCTTTTTTGTAATTTTTATTATGCAAATGTTGAAATTAAAATGGCAATACTTAACAAGTTAGGCTAATATTCAAAGTCAATGAACCATGACTGAGGTACATGGCTAAACCATCTCCATGTAAATGAGATGCGCCAATGCTAATACAACTGCATACCAATATCATTGACTTATTATAAGTTGTTCCCTTTAAACAAACATAAACACAAACATTAACTTGAAAACTATGTAAAAGTTTCAAAGTCAATAAAGAATAAATAAACCATGAAGAGGGGATGGAGCTATATAATCTCCATGGAAACGATACTTACAAATGCCAATAAATTTGCATACCAAATATCATTGACTTAATTAACATTAGCAGTTCATCTTAAACTGATCTTATCACAAACTAATACATGTAAACTAAGCAAAAGTTTCACAGTCAATAGGCCATGACTGAGGGGAGGAGGCCAAATATTCTCCATTGAAATGAGATGTGCTAATGCTTATACAACTGAATACCAATTAACATTGGCCTACCACTAATGGTTCCCCTTGAACTGACCTAATCACAAACTAATACATGCTAACTAAGCAAAATTTTCAAAGTCAATAGACCATGACTAAGGGGGCTGAGCCAGATAATCTCCATGGAAATGAGATGTGCCAATGCTTATACAACTGCATACCAAATATCATTGACCTAGCACTAATGGTTCCCCATAAACTGACCTAATCAAAAACTAATACATGTAAAATAAGCAAAAGTTTAAAAGTCAATAGACCATTACTAAGAGGGCAGGGCCAAATAATCTCCATGGAAATGAGATGTGCCAATGCTAATACAACTGTATACTAAATATTATTGACCTACAACTTGTGGTTCACCACAAACTAGGCCTAATCACAAACTAATACATTGTTGACGCCGCCGCCGCCGCCGACGACGACGACGCCGAAAACAGCATAATTATGTCTCGCTTTTTGACTCCGTCAAGCGAGACAAAAAACCCTTTGAAAAGAATACAAATTTAGTTATGTTTTAATTTGATGATGACAAAATCGATATTTGTGCCAATGTAAACTATATTCAAAGATCTTATTACAACATTGGTAAGATAACCTTTATTAATAAGTTTGCTTATTACATTGGTAGCAATGAATTACATTGATTTCCCAGTCAAATAAAAACCGATAATTTCACATGTGAATTAAACGTGGTTATTTCACTCTCTGACGTCATACAACAATAGGCGTTGTCAAGACGTCGATAACGTCGGATCAAAACAAATTGTGAATGCGTAGAAAAAAGATATAGTTCCTTACATTTTCTACATTAATTTCATTAAAAAAAGCCATTTGCCAATGTAATAAAAAGAATAACTAATCAAAGAATTCAAATATCGAAAAATATTCAACTCGTGACCGAACAACACTGATAATTAACTCATGCGCTACGCGCATTCGTGAATTAATGTGTTGTTCGGTCACTCGTTGAATATTTTTCTCTATTTGAATTCTTCGATTAGTTATTCTATAATTAAAGGTTTGATGAGTTTACACGGATCACATAGTGATTTCCGCGCTTTTAGTACAATATTACCGTAAAATTTAGGATGTGAAATACCGTTTTTAATAAGTTTTCTACAGGTACAGCGAAATTTACTAATCAAATCTTTGTATCCATGAAAGAATTTAGTAAAAGTTTTAAGTTATTTATGGTAACAAATTGTCTACATTTATAACTGTAGTAGAAAGAAATTTGGAACAAAATTTGTCGATATCGACACCTTAAAACAGACGCACCAAGAAAAAACTAAATTTTCTATAAAAATACCTGTAGTAGATACATAATTTGTCGATATCGACTCGATGTCATCGATAACGTCGATATCGACATCTTAAACAGACGAACCTGGAGAAACTATATTGTCGATATACATAACTGTAAAACAGTTAGACATTTGGAACATAGTTTGTCGATATCGACTCGATGTCGTCGATATGATACAGAAGAACCAGGAGAAACTAGGTATGTCCAAGACACAATGTTGTTTCGATATCGACAAATTATGATCCAAATGCAGTAATCATGATATTTTGATATGTACATTAAAATTATTCTTTTTTCAACACTAATACTTGGACTAAGGTCAATATCAACCGTCTCGGCCTTATTTATTTACGCAACAAAAAAAACGAAAAACAAATATGATAACAGAAACAAACGACAACGACTGATTTGCAGGCTCCTTACTTGGGCAAGTCACACACATAATGTTGAGGGGTTAAACATGTTTACGGGCGACAAACCACCCCCTAACCTGCCACAGTGTTTTAACAGCACAACATAAAAATCTAGAGTGCACACGCTGAAATGTATCTCCTGTTTTACTGACCATTAATTTTACGCTGAAAGTCTTAAAGATAAAGGTTTTACTACAAGCATCACATAAACTAAACATTTTTAAAGATCCATGAAAATGAGGTGAAGGTCAGATGAAACCAGCCAGTCTGACATGTTACCCTTACAATCAGTCCATACACCACATTTAGTTGACCTACTGCTTATAGTATCATAGAAACGGTCTAATCACGTAACTTTAACCTTTATCACTGATCCATATAATGATGTCAAGGTCAGGCGTAGTCTGTCTGACGGACACGTAGACATTGTAAGCACGGTAAGGAACCCATATACCAAATATAGATATCCTATTTCCCTTAATTATTGAGAAATTTACATGACAAAAAACAATAATTTGTGTTCAAGCAGTCGCTGAACCATGAAAATGAGGTCAAGGACAATGGACATACGACAGACGGAAACTGCGTAACATAAGATATCTGTATACAAGGTATGAAGCATCTAGGTCTTCTACCCTCTGAAATATAAAGCTTTATACAAATAGTTTACATCGCCGCTGCCGCCGTCGCCAGAAAGTAAACCCTATGTCTCGCATACTACGACGAAATCGAAGGCGAGACAAAAACAATAAATATCAGTTGGAAAAGACCGAACTCATCAGATCGATACAAAACAAAACACTAACAAAAACAATAAATACACAAACTACCGATCTGAGAGTACTCTACGTTACTGAAAGCTATTTCAAAGCTTAAAACAATTAATTAAATAATCATATACCCAAGACGAAATATAAACCAGAACACAATCATCCAATGGTTTTTGTGTACGTCTAAGTATTCTTCCATGCTCTAACCATTCGAATGTCGCTAGTTTACTTATTGGTAATTGTGCGTAAAACAAACGCCGCGCGTAACGTAAGTTTTTATCCTTTGTATTTACGTAAATTCTATAACGTATTCATTTTGAGATAGACGTTGCTGTATTTACCGTGGAGATGATATATAATGATGAAAATGAGGTAACGGTCAGATGATACCTGCTAGACAGACATGTACACTTTACAATCATTTCATACACCAAATATAGTTGACCTATTGCTTATAGTACTTGAAAAACAGACCAAAACACAAAAAACTAAGCATTGACCAATGAACCATGAAAATGAGGTCAAGGTAAGATGAAACCTGCCAGACTGACATGTACCAATTACAATCATTCCTTACACCACATATACTAGTAGTTTACCTACTGCTTATAGTATTTGAGAAACGGACCTAATCACGTAACTTTAACCTTTATCACTGATCCATGAAATATGATCGAGGTCAGGTGAACCCTATCTGGCGGACATGCAGACGTTGCAAGGAACCCATATACCAAATATAGTTATCCTATTACTCATAATAAATGAGAAATTCACATGATCAAAAACCTGTATTTTTTTTTCAAGCAGTCGCTGAACCATGAAAATTAGGTCAAGGACAGACGAAAACTTCGTAACATAAGGAATCTGCGTTACAAATTATGAAGCATCCAGGTCTTCTACCTTCTGAAATATAAAGCTTTATACAAATAGTTTACGCCGCCGCCGCCGCCGCCGCCGGATACTAGTAGTTATACCTAAGTCTCGCATACTACGACTTTCGTCGCAGGCGAGACAAAAACCAGTCTGCTTAAAATACAGATCATGTGTCCAAGCTTCGCTTACAAGGATCTGACAATTCTCTGTTCACCTTTCTGTTATACAGATCTTTCGGAACCCTCTGGTTTTCTCGTAATGATACACAGCTTCAAATATTTGAAGGCTGAAATTTCATTGGCTGATGTTATAATTATCAGAACAGAAAGTAGAATGGAGTGTTGTCAGATCCTTGTAAGCGAAGCTTGGACACAGGATTTGTATTTTAATTAGATTGGATAAAAACCAGATAATCTATACTTTGCTTACTATGTGGTATGGGTTTTGCTCATTGTTAAAGGCCGTACGGTGACCTATAATTGTTAACTTCCATGTCATTTAGTCTCTGGTGGAGAGTTGTCTCATTGGCAATCATACCACATCTTCTTATTTTCATATTTGCGGCTTTTTGTACATGCATTCTACATACATAAGATCTAGTTCACATTTAATTAATTGTAAACATGTATTTGGATGCCACAAGTATTATATTTTTGAATATTCAGATGCAGTTCAAAAAGTTATAAATGCATACCAAGTTTCTTATCCAAACAAACACAAAATTACGTATCTTTCGCCTTAAATTGGATTTTCAGAACGAAACTTCAACACAAATGAAAACTTATGGTCAATATTTTATATACATTCCGGCTGCGTATCTTCACAATTTATTTTAGACATCTTTCTACTCTTAAGACATGTCTCGTCATAGTAAAGGTAAGACTTCATGACACTTGTGTTCATTTGTACTCTTTAATGACTCTTAAATGGCATGTTATCTTCAGAAAATTGATGCATCCAAGTAACTCAATGGGCTATTATAACCTCAAGCACTTTAACTGGTACAATAAATATGTTTAAACCATGAGAACGAACGAATGGTCAAAAGAACTATAAAATTTCTTGGTCTTAGGTCACTAACAAATTCGAACTGACTCGATTAAATGGTTACGTCACTGTGGGAGAAAATGTCAATGCTGAGTTAGCAACCCGTCTACATATAGTTTTAAAAGACTGTGAATAATTTAAAGAGGGACCGTCAAAAGTCTTAATCAATTATTGTAAAATTTTTAGTTTGAGTTTGTAAAACCGAGCAAATTATAAAATAAAGATATGTGTCGCTTAAAACAATGATTATATGGATCATTAAAACAAAATCATTAAAAAAAAACAAGATCTTATAATATTTTTACAAATGTGTACACTATATGGTATCATTTAAGGATCGAAATCAACAAAAGTTCGATGCTGTTTTTTAATATTTTTTTTTTTGGGGGGGGGGGGGGTGATCGTGTTGCTCAGTCTAGTTTTCTTGGTGTATTGTTTTGTGGACAGTTTCTTTTTTCGTCGCTATTTGTTGTTTGCCATGGTATTGTTGCTATCTCTTTTACTTATTGATTTTCCTTTACCATTTTCTGCTCTCCCCCTGGCAGTAGGAACAGTTCTCATCATAAAAATAAGGTGAGGTATGATTGCCAATGAGACAACTATCCACCAAAGTTCAAATGAAGTGGATGTAAGCAATCATAGGCAACCGTACGGCCTTCAACATATGTACATATAATTAGTACTATATGGATTCATTGTCCATCACAATGTCCATCACAATGAATCCATATAGTACTAATCATTGTTGCATATTTAATACAAAGACTTGATAAAAACGTAACCGGGTCACTTTCCTACGGAAGCGTATTAGCGCCACACAACTTTATTTTTTAATATTTCTTCCAATGTTTGCGTTATAACGCAAACCTTTGCGATATAACGCAAACCTTTGCGAAATAACGCAAACATTTGCGATATAACGCAAACATTTGCGATATAACGCAAACCTTTGCGTTATAACACAAACTTTTGCGAAATAACGCAATCATTTGCTTTATCTTATTTCTTATTTATGATTCAAAGGAAGCAGCAGTTATAAATGGAGAAGGCTGCATATATTAAAATGTATCCTCCTTTGTACTCATTGCAAAGTAAAATGCTTGAATATTTAGAACATATCATTGACTAATAATGAGAAGGATAATAGATATAAGAAGATGTGGCATGAATGTCAATGCCGGAGACAACTCTCAGTCCAAGTAACAATTTCTAAAAGTAAACCATTATAGGTCAAAGTACGGTCTTGAACACTGAGCCTTGGCCCAAACCTAACAGCAAGTTATAACGGGTCCCAAAAATTATATACATTATAATACATATATATATTTTACAAAGAAAATTGAGTAAATTGAAGTTATATCGAAGAATATAAAAAAATCAACTCTGCTAATACAGCTATAGCCAAATATAAATATACTTCCAAAGTAAGCTCTCGTTTGAGGATTGTGTAAGGTTGGTTAGATCCAAACAAGCTACCTTTTTGCAATAAAATGAAGATGTTTTATTATTAAAATTATGTTCTCTCCATTCAAATTTCTACCCAAGCATCTTAAAAGTTACTTCACTATATTGAAATGGAAATTCTATGACTTTCTATCAAAGAATCTTTATCATATTCTGAGATTTAAAAAAACGATTTCTTGCATCAAAATTGTAAAAAAAATGTTTCTTTATTAATAATTCATTTTAAAGCAGAAAGATCATTTTGTCTATTTGACTTGCAAGTTTCACAATTGTATGACATTATTTTTGCTCTTTCAATTAAAATATGCCTATACCATATCTATTTTCTTGTTAAATTATATACTTTTCTGATGCAAAAAATCATTCTTAGTTTATGTATAATGGCACTTCAAGTATTCCCTTATTCCTATGCATATTTATTATTATGATTTGGCATTGTATTTATGGTTCTTTTCTTATCTAAAATCACAACCGAAATTAATGACAGACGGACATATATACAAAACTTAATGAATATTTGAAATCAAGATGTTTGCGTTATAACGCAAAGGTTTGCGTTATTTCGCATAGGTTTGCGTTATATCGCAAATGTTTGCGTTATTTCGCAAATGTTTGCGTTATATGGGGTCAAGGCCATATCACAAACTCACTAATAAGCACAAGTTTCGTTGGGTCATTATGCAGAGTAATGCAACTCCTTCAAAACCTTTAAATTGGTAATGTAAGCATTAAACAATACTACGGCTAGTTGATGGTCTCTAGATTACAAGCCCCGTCAAGACTTCTAATCTAATGCATTAGAGTTACCTAGGTGAAAAAAAGAATTAAGATACCTGAAACTGTTTCATAAATGGAGGAGTCGGGTAAGTGTCAACAAGGAAGCAACTAAACAGAACATCGTGAAGTAAAACTGATTTCCAGATGGAAAAGTGTCTTTCCCTAATGGCGAGGTTAAAAACATCAAATTGTACGGTTATATTCGTGACTACTATAACATACTAGTATCAGGTTATATATAAAAACATAAATAGACAAAATATTACATGATAACAATATAAACACCAGTTTATCAAATATGGACACAATTATATCCATACTAATTAGTCTGAAGACTCATCACTGTTCTCTGAAGCTCTAGATTCTACGTTCGAAGTTTGAGAAATGTCACACTGGCTATTGGTTTGCAATTCATCATTCCCGCAGAATATGGATACGTCTGATTGGTTGATCTTGCCATCTGCCAAAGACATAGATTGGTGTATTCGGACACATTCTATCGAAAAATGACTCATCTTATGGCTCTCTGAAGAAAACGATCTCTGTAAAGATCTATCTGATGTAAACATGGGAGGCGCTGATTTGTAAGACACTGAAGAAGACTTTAATCTGGTTACCGTGCTAGAAAAACAAGACAATTCATGCACATTGGTTGTTTGTGATTGGTTACTTTGATAATCGACAGTTGATTCTGACAGTGTTTGAGAATCAGTGCGAGAGTGAGTGTTGGAGCTGTCACTTGATACCTGAACAGACAAGGATGATGACTGTAATCTGGCCACAACACTAGAAAAACAAGACGATTCCGATACAATGGTTTTTTGAGATTGGCTTTTTTGACAGTTGACAGTTGAATGCGACAAGGATTGAAAATCGGTGCGAGAATCAGCATCGGAGCTTGATGTATGTGGAGACATTCCTATGGTATCGTCAACATTAACTTTGACATAATCCTGAAAACAACTACTCACTGATGATGAAGCATCACGTGCAATGGACAGATGGTTTCCTGACCCGTCATCTAGAGGACCGCTCTCCAGAGTAACATCATCGTTGGACAAAGTGTCTTTTGACCGGTCAGTTACATGACCACTCTCCAGAGTAATACCATTGTTGGACAAAGTGTCTTTTGACCTGTCATCTACATGACCGTTCTCCAGAGTAATATCATCGTTGGACAAAGTGTATTTTGATCGGTCAGTTACATGATCACTCTTCAGAGTAATAACATCCTCGTTGGACAAAGTATATTCTGACCTGTCATCTTCAAGATCGCTCTGCAGAGAAACATCATCGTTTTTCAAAATAGCTGATAACCCTAAAACATCTTCAAACTTATTGATGACTGTTTTCAATTGTCCAGTATTATTACAGTGCGTAACCGTTTTTCTACTCTGTGGTGCTTGTTTTGACTGTCCCTTTTTGCTAACTAGTTCAGTCACAAAAGAAGAGTTTCTACTTGGTTTAGGGAAGCGGCCATATTTGCGGACGTTGGGGTAAGGAGTTGGTACTCGCCGGATAATTTCAACACTTTCCTCCTTTTCATTGGGACTGGTGTTTTCAATAGTATCTGGGCATATATTGTGGGATGATTTGGACTCCTTCACATTTGATTCGACCGAGAAACTGTTAAAATACTTTGAAGGTGATAATTCCGGAGCACTTGGCGAGTGACGAATAGGTTTCCCCTCGTCAGTACTATTTTCGTCATAGACAACCTCCTTATCGCTGCATCTGGATACATTATCTTCTACTTTAGTGTAAAGATTATTGTTTATCTCTTGCGTTGATTTAACATCACATAAATATGACATGTATTTATCAGCACACAGGATTTTTTCTTCTTGAAGTTGGACTTTGTCATGTAAGAACTTCAGCATAGTGTCCTGTGCCTTTCTATCTCGTCTGTAAGCTGCTAAAACCCTGGCTGTAGCAAGAAAATATGCATTCATTATGTCATATATCCTGAAAAAGAAGAAAATAAAATGCTTCAAGATTTATCCGCAAAACTCTCCATTTTAAAAGGTATTCTATGAACATTTCGTGCTGATGTGTATGGTGTAAGAAGACCCTGGTGATAAAAACAATAAAAACGGGACTATATATAAGACGGTGCTTTACTCTTTACAATCAAATCAGAAGCATTTTCTATATGGCAACAATCAGTTTTCAACAATAGATAAGTGTGTATACCAAACAAATTATTAATATCGATGTCTAAATCGTCCGAATCTTGACATGTAGTATATCTATCAAATAACTTTCATTAACCAAAGTGCCTTTTAAAAGACCGATAAATACTGAGATATGAATAGAGTCACCAATGGCGAGTTCCCAGACTTCGGACAGGCAAATTGACATGTGATGGCCTAAACTAGTCTTTAAGTACAAAATTTTCATTCTGACATTTAATTTCAACATATTTAACTGAAGGCGTTTCAACGGCTTTGAACGTAAATCATATATTTATAAATCACAATTTTAAGTGATTTCCTGCAAGATAATTAACACTGTTCCGAAGGAAATGAATTAAAATGCTGTCAACTTACTGGTCCTCCATGTAACCTTTGTCTTTCATGGCTTGCATATCAATTTTTCCGTTGTCATCGATGAAAGTTTCAACCTCTTGCCTTAAAGCAGTTTCGTCGCTAGGAATCTCAAGCACTCCCATTGCTAATGGTTAAATCTGGGCAAAAACAAATCAATAAATAGTGAAGTTATACTCTCCATGCAAACATTTTTTTTATTTTTATTAATTTATACTATTTCCAATCATATGTTTCGTGGTCAATACGTTATATTTATGGACATAAGAAGTCCATATTGACCTTGGTCTATGGTATAATGTGCTGACCTATGTCAAACAAGGAGCAGCAACTCTCAAGTTTATTCGGGACTCGACAGGACTTTTATCAATTTGCATTTTGTACAACTTCATTGTTTCGTTATAAACTGACAGACTTAGTAGTTTCGTCGTACAGCGTTCCAAGAAAAAAGAATGCCCACATGGACTGCAGGGGGTCGTCGGTTCGACCTCCGACCGGGTCAAACAAAAGACTTGTTTTACAATTGGTATTTATTACTTCTCGGCTTAACATGCAGCTTTTTACGTTGAAGAGCGAAGATTGCAGTCGGCTCGGATTAATAAGATTAATATAAGCGGACAGGGCGACATGTATTCCTCTGAATGTGACTTTGTGATCAACTATCACGTTCAAAATATGAATCAGACCGGCTTGTGGTTCTAACACAAAGTAGAGTTTTTTTCATATTACATTTACATTTGCATGTAATAATTATGGCATAAATAAATAAAATATTGACACAGAGATATGCCTCGCCTGTATGAAATTTTTGACAGTATAATGCGGATGGCAATATATACTAATTGGATATGTAAACTATGCAAAACATAAGTCAATGAACCGTGACTGCAGGGTTCACAGGCGAATAATCTCAGTGGTAATGAAAAAGTATGCCCAATGCTAGTACAAATACATACCAGCACAACCAAGTCTCACATTGGTCGACTTCTTTTGGCGAAACATGCAAAAACCAATCCATCTATCTATGTTATGAAATAAGATGGTGAAGTGACATCTCTTGTATTTTTATATACAGAGGTTTGATATTGAATAGAAAACTATACCTGTTGTGTTTTCTTCCAGAAGGAACACCGTATCACCAGAATATAACTCTTACATTTTCTCTTCATAAGATTTATTGGTCATTAAAATATCATACAGAGGAACAACTATGAAGAAAACAAATTATAAGTGAGGTTAACACATGTCCCTTGGGTAGGTTTAACAAAAGTCTCCTAAGAGTCTGCGGCTCTTTTCACAAAAAATCTTAAGAGTAAAAATATTCGCAAGTCATACACATTGCAGTATAGCTATTGATCAATTTTAATCGTAAGATTTTTTGTGAAAAGAGTCGCTGAATCGCTGACCTGGCAAACATATGGCATTTTGATATTTATGTTCACCTTTGTTGCAAATGGTTACATTCACTTACTTGTAGATATTATCTAGCTGATCATTCTTGCTGTTTCTCTATATCTGTTATAGTTTTCAAGATTAGAAAGTATACAATCTGTTTGCAAAAAGAGTGAACATAGTCATTTAAGGGTAATAATTCTTACAGAAGTCAATTGACAATTTCGGTGATGTTGAATTATTTGTAGATCTTATCTGACCGATCGTTGGTTCTCTCTATTTGTTATACATGGTAGTTTTCAGGAAAAAGAGCCAAAACGTAAACAACAATCATTGCGAAACTTGTATTATTTGCAGATCTTGATTTGCTGATTATTATTTTGTTGCTGTTTACACTTGCTCTCTATTGGTATAGTTTTCTAAAACGTAAGAAATGGATGATCTACTAGGTTTTTTAGGAAAAATTGCCTAAAATGTGAACAAATGGAGATAACTTGTACTCCAAGGACAGCATCTTCTATAAGGCGACGTCGATCTTCGGTTATGCTTACCTATTTGTAGATATCGGTTCGCTGATTATTTTGTTTACTGTATATAGTTTCTCTCTAACTATTATCGTTTTCAGGATGATCGCCAAAAACGCAATAAATCATCGGGATTCGAATTGTCAATTATTGGCAATTGAATCTTTAAAGGAGCCGATTAACAATGCACTCGCTAAAATGTCTCACCTGCTTTACAGACCATTGGTTTTATATTCATAGTCCTAAATATAAATTTTGACTACACGTATCACATAAACTTAAAATGAAACAAGAAAATGAAGTCAAGGTCAGATAAACCAAGTCAGAAATAGTGTACACCTTCCAATCATTCCATACACCGAATACTGTTGACCTATTGCTTATAGTATACAAGAAACAGACCAAACCTTGAAAACTTTATATTGACTAATGAACCATGAAAATGAGGTCAAGGTCAGATGAACCCTGCAAGACAGACATGTACACCTTACAATCATTCCATGCATCAAATATAGTTCACATATTGCTTATAGTTTCAGAAAAAGAGACCAAAACACAAAACTTAACATTGAGCAATGAACTGTGAAAATGAGGTCAAGGTCAAATAAAATCTGCCAGACAGACATATACACCTTACAATCATTCCATACACCAGATCTAGTTGACCTATTGCTTATAGTTTAAGAAAAATAGACCAAAACACAAAAACTTAACATTGAGCAATGAACTGTGAAAATGAGGTCAAGGTCAAATAAAATCTACCAGACAGACATATACACCATACAATCATTCCATACACCAGATATAGTTAACCTATTGCTAATAGTTTAAGAAAAACAGACCAAAACACAAAATCTTAACATTGAGCAATGAACTGTGAAAATGAGGCCAATGTCAAATAAAACCTGCCAGACTGACATGTACATCGTAGAATATTTCCATACACCAAATATAGTTGACCTTTTGCATACGGTATAAGAAAATAAAAGGCTAAAACACAAAACTTAACTAATAACCACTGAACCATGAAAAAGAGGTGAAGGTCCGATGACACCTGCCAGTTAGACATGTTCACCTTACAATCATTCCATACACCAACAATAGTAGACCTATTGCTTATAGTATCTGAGATATGGACTTGACCACGCAAACTTAACATTGTTCACTGATCCATGAAATGAAGTCAAGGTCAAGTGAAAACTGTCTGACAGACATGGAGACCTTGCAAGGTACGCACATACCAAATTTACATTACAAATAAATCTTCAACTTTTTTTTCAAGTAGTCACTGAACCAAGAAAATGAGGTCAAGGACAATGGACATATGACAGACGGAAACTTAATAACATAAGGCATTTATATACAAAGTATGAAACATACAGGTCTACTACTTCAAAAAGTAGTTAGTTACGCCACCACCGCCTGATCACTATCCCTATGTCTCGCCTTCTGCTACAGAAGTCGTAGGCTCGACAAAAACTCTCTAGAAATGGATAATCTACTATAGTTTTTTATAATAAAAATAGCCAAAAAAGTAAACAAATCGACAAAACTTGGTAATTCAAAGGCAAACAACACTCAATCAATTCTTTATAGTAAAATATGGAGGCAAATGTCGGCAACATATATAATTGCAAAAAAGGAGCTGCGTAAATTATATTTAATGCAAATCATAATGGTTCATCTATTCAACTCGAATAGAGTGTTGTTTGCTTAATGTCCAGGGGCAAATATTTCATGAATATTCTGACATCCTATAAATCAAATTCAAATTCTTTATTAGATCCTAATCACAGTTCAAATTTTGACACATTTATTTACACGTTCAAACAACTCCTTTTCATTCCGTTCACTCTAATGTTGATTAGGTAAATACATCGCCCATTGCACCTCATCTAGCACACAAAAATCGGAGAAAAGAGAAAAATGTTAATAAGTTAAATACATCGCCCATAGCAGTTCATCTAGCTCACACAACTCAGAGTAAAGAGAAAAATGTTAATTATGTAAATACATTGCCCATAGCACCTCATCTAGCACAAAAAAATCGGAGAAAAGAGAAAATGTTAATTAGGTATATATACATCGCCCATAGCACCTCATCTAGCACACAAAAAGCGAAGAAAAGAGAAAAATGTTAAGGTTAATACATCGCCCATAGCACCTCATCTAGCACACAAAACTCGGAGTAAAAGAGAAAAATTTTAATTAAGTAAATACATCGCCCAAAGCACCTCATCTAGCACACAAAAATCAGAAAAAATACCTACCCTTACGAAAAATTGTACGTCCTTCTTCATCCCTTCTGAGACTACTGTTGTAGTAGTCTCTGATCACTTTAAAAGTTGTGCGGTAGTGTCGAATGGTAACGTCTATGACGTTAAATGTAATATCCGGTAATGAATAACCAATTCAATCTGGTTAAATTTGCTTTTACTCAACTTGGTTTGTTTAAATCAGTAACACTAAAAGGCGAAACAAAACAACACGAGTATAATTTGATCGATTGGCTTATATAAGGTGTCTACACCGAGTGCTGTCGGTATTTTCAAGTTTTGAGCTCGACGGCCTTCTGAGGATCAACCCCACGACTCCCTGCACTCGAGGCGACCACGCTGAGACTGTTTATACGCATTTGAGCAAACTTGTATCTTGACTGTAAATGTGCATATATTTCAATATATTTATTAAGTAGGGCTTGCATAACCAGTGAATAAAATGTTCAAATGATGTATCCAGATTTATTTTATCCTTTTCGCGTTTAGTTATTTAAAAAGATTGTCTCTTTTGTTCATAGTTGTGAGTCTGTTTGTTTGTATTTCATTGCTAATACTAATATCAAAACAAAGTTTGTTTTTATTTAATTATTTAAACGTGTTCTGAAACTGGGTAAATGTCACTCACACTGTTATGTGAATCTTTACAACAATTATATTTGAGGTGGGGTGGTTGTATGAAACTTGTTGCAAGGAGGCCAGATGTCTACACCATACCCCCCCTCCCCATATATTATAATCCTCCAGTGGCAGTCCAAATTTGTCTAATTTCATCCCGGTCAACATAATTTGCAAAACCTTCATATGGGCGTTTTTATTTATATTATTTTCGCTTGTCATCAACAGTGCATGAAATATTTGCCATTGGACGACGATCAAGCAACAATCAAGAAATAGAACACAACTTTTATTGACCTTGGACGATTTATAGCTTGACATATTGTATATACAACTTCCTATTGCTGAAGACCGTATGTTGCCCTCTAGATATCTTACTATTGTTGAAGACGGTATGTTACCCTCTAGATATCTTACTATTATTTATGAATAGCCCATGGCCAGATCTTGCTACTTATATTGCCATTATCAACACGTGGCTAGCATCATACACATCCTTAGCTCTTTGGATATAGCAACACAACATCCTTGCTTTTATATTAACTGCTACCATAGCAATATCGCCTTGTTAAAAAAATATATAATTGATTCTGATTGCTTCACACAGACTTTGTCCTTCTTGTATCACACATCTTTGCTTTAAGTTGCGCTATCATCACAAAACCCTACACCTACACTTTCCCATGTCTATTAGCTTAGCATTTCCTTTACCTAGTTAAAGAGTTTAAATCTCATGTTCAGCTAGCAACGCACATACTTTACTTATGTACAGCTAGAAACTTTTTTATTCTGGCGATATTTAACATCCTGTATCTTTTATATCAATAAAATCCTAGCTATACTGTATCAAGAATGCTTGACTTGAAATAGGAACAATTGTCAGTCTCAAAAGATTTCCTGAAAAAATTGAACAATACCACCTTGCCGACCACTTAACATCAATTTGTTGTCCCCTTATTCCTTAACAGGTTGAAAAGTTTCAAATCTTCTAGCATTACATGGCTTTTAATACAAGTATGAATAAACTGTTGACACAGAGATATGTTGCGCCTGTTAGCATAAAATTAAGAAAAAGACAATCTGAAGGCTTATTAATTCAGTTGCTGGACCATGATCTAGTGGGCAGGGCCTGAAAATGGTGGACAAACTGAGATGTGAAGACAGTAATGTAACTTTATAGAAAATATTGTCGTCTATTCTAAGTAGTTCCTATCAATCTAACTTAAGCAATAAACTTAACATTGAAAATTGCTAATTAATTCAAAGTAACTGGACCATGTCCTAGGGGGAGGACCTCAAAATAGTTGTCAAACTGATATGTACTAATAGTAATGCAACTTCATACAAAATATCACTGATCTATCACTAGAAGTTCTTATCAAACTGACTTAAGCAGAAAACTAAAATTTGAAAATTGCTAATTAATTGAAAGTGACTGGACCATGACTAAGAGGGAAGGGCCTCAAAATTACTTGTCAAACTGATATGAACTGATAGTAATGCAACTTCATACAAAGTATCATTAATCTATCACAAGTAGATCCTATGAAACTAACTTAAGCAGAAAACTGAGGGTTGGGATCCTGCTAACATGTTTTACCCCGCCACATTCTGTATGTATGTGCCTGTCCCAAGTCAGGAGCCTGTAATTCAGTGGTTGTCTTTTGTTTATGTGCTACATACAATGTATTTGTTTTTTTCGTTCATTTTTTGTACATAAATTAGGCTGTTAGTTTTCTAGTTTGAATTGTTTTACATTGTCATTTCGGGGCCTTTTATAGCTGAATGTGCGGTATGGGCTTTGCTCATTGTTGAAGGTCGTATGGTGACGTATAGTTGTTAATTTCTGTGTCATTTGGTCTCTTGTGGAGAGTTATCTCATTGGCGATCATACCACATCTTCTTTTTTATATTAACATTGAAAATTGTTAATTAATTCAAAGTCACTGGACCATGACCTAGGGAGCAGGGCCTCAAAATAGATGTCAAACTGATATGTACTGATAGTAATGCGACTTCATACAAAATATGATTGATCTATCACAAGTAGATCCTTTCAAACTAACTTAAGCTAATAATTCAGTCACTGGACCATGACCTAGGGGGCAGGGCCTGTCGCCAGAAAAGCAATCCCTATATCTTTTGTTCTGCGACTTTCATCGCAGGCGAGACAAAAATCTTCTCCCCGGGTGGTCTCACAAAAACCTTTGATTTCTACAAGTAGAAACCCTCTCCAATATATTGTTTGGTCTTAAAGTGAGCCAGGAAATATCACCTGCAGTGGCCTAGGAGCAAACTTTTCATTTCATTTTTTTCTTTTTCATTAAAAAAATCGCCAAAAAAGTGAGGGGGAGACATGTTTCTTCTACTCCTACCCCAATGACTTGGTCACAAAAAGCAGCATATCCATGCATTGATAATTGTATTATACAATTATTTATTTTTTATCAAATGCTGGATCCAAATGCGATGCTCTGTTGCATGTAAAAGAACCCTTGTAACAAATTTTGCACAAAGGTGGAATATTGAAAGACAAAATTTCTGTTCCTATCAAACATATGTTCTTTTACTACAACAGTCTAATTTACCTGCCCTTCATCCCATCAACCCACTGTGCAGAACTCTCCATTATTGGATCAATTGTTGTGCAGAACTCTCCATTATTGGATCAATCGTTGTGCAGAACTCTCCATTATTGGATCAATCGTTGTGCAGAACTCTTCATTATTGAATCAATCCTTGATTTGTTCTTGTCCTGAATATGTATGCAATAATTTCTGAATTTTTAGAATGTTTGATATATATAAACGAATGTTGCCAATTTTAGCAAAGTTGCTTCTATGTCTTGTATATATTAGACAGACGCTTCTCATATAAACCAATCATTATAAATTTTATTAGTTATCAGGTTAATTCTGAAAGGGAGATCATTCACCTGTTTCAGCAAAATATTGCATTGAAAGGTCATTTTAAATGGTCCAATCAATGTTTTATCCAACTTGACACATTTTTTCAAGTAAAGGAAAAAGGTAATAGACATCTTGGATTTGTGCAGGATGTAAGGTTTTTATTAGAAGTTTAGCAAAAGCTACCAATAACAATATAAACATAGATGTATTATAATCTTCCTCAACATTGATGTAACAAAAAATATAAACATAGATGTATTATAATCTTACTCAACATTGATGTAACAAAAAATATAAACATAGATGTATTATAATCTTCCTCAACATTGATGTAACAAAAAATATAAACATAGATGTATTATAATCTTCCTCAACATTAATGTAACAAAAAAGAAAAAAAAAGCAGAACAACATAAAACAGATCTTACGAAACAAGACTATGAAAGAACAACAATGTATCCATGAAATTTGAATTGCACATCAATTACGACAATCTTTACTTATATAATTGCCATGAGACATACCATCTACCACAGCTCTTCCCCACACAATGTAATTTTTATCACAGTCTATCATGTTGTGTATATCTAATTTTAATTTGTCAGTTACATATTTAACTGAAGCTTCTGCGTCACTTTCCTCAAGTATAATTTCATAGTTAAGTTTGTCAAAAGTTAAGAACTGAATGTTCCATGGTATTTCCCATGATATATAAAGTGAACAAGTTTGCTCCATGATAAGCTTACAATTGAGATTCTTAATTTCAGAAGGTGTTTCATGATATGCAGAATGTCGGATACTCTTTCCTTTATTTATGACTGTTTTGATTACATTCATGATTGCACTGATGTCTACAAAAGTGTCCTGATATATATGATAAAGCCAAGAAGGATCATCACAACATAAATGTTTGGGTACTTTCTTCTGGTTCATTATTTCCTTCTGAACTTCTGACTGTAAATGCATCAGACCTCCATGCTCGGGTGGATAATCAATATGACCGACTGTAGATTTCTGATCGGTATTTTCCCAAGAGACATAATTTATATCCATACCTTTGATGTTGGCTAATGTCTTGTATGGTGTATATTGATCAGGTGACACAGCATATGGAAAGAGTTCTATTATGAAAGACCCTGGTTTTAAAAACATGGCTAAAGTTAACAATGATCCATGCATTCCTATTATACCCTTAGCATTAGAAACAAGGGTTATCATATCTGTTAATGAATGTGTTTCACTACTTATTGTTACAACTTTCAAGGAAAATTCTTGTAAAATTGCTTGGACTAGATCATTTTCATTTATAATTTTACGATTTTCTTTCCTCGATATTAAAACTATAAAGTCTGTTAAATGCTGAGCATTGGAATCCAGATGATGTAAAATAAAGTGACTAGTAGATTTAATTTGCTGAGCATAAACTGTGGAGTCTAATATAGGGCCCTGTGGCTCAATAAACCCATAATTATACCATAAAGTATCTGTTAAAAGACCGACTATTGCACTTGAGAAACATACAAGTTCTCTGTCATCTTGTGTTTCTTTACCATATTGTGGTTCACTACCTTGTATATCTATTTTATACTGAGGTTGAGAACTTGTAAAAAGTTCATACAATGTTCTGTAATCTCCTGGAGGCCAGTCATCCATGAATACAATCTGTGCATCAAATTTATCGATAGTAGCCATCTTTGATTTCAAATTTTCAAAATGTTTCATCGTGAAATGTAAAGGCAGCAAGTCATCATGAATAACATGCATGAGATTGTCAGACTTGAAACGACTGAAAATGTAACTAGTTTTATTTATCCAACTGACACTGAATTGTGTTGAAAAGTTTTCACTGAGAAATGTAAGTGGCAGTTCATGTCCTGTGAAGTCAGCTGGAGTTGAAAGTGATGGAATCTTATTTCTGTTTAAGGAATTATATTTCATTTCATCATTGTTATAGAAAAAAACAAACAAATTTTCTTTTGGCTGATAACATAGATTTTTAAAATGGCAAACATGATGTTTAAAATTTGACTGACATGTTTCAAAAGAATTGAATTTCATGTTACTTTGAGACTCATCTGGAATTTTGTGTGTATTTGAATCTGCTTTGTTTGAATGTTCCCACTCTGCATACAGACATCTATCCTGTAAATCATCCAGCTGATAAAGAAGTTGAAAGTATTTCTTTACTAACGTTGCTATGACAGCAAACATTACAGCATGGGTTATCATGTGTAGACTCATTTTCTGTATCCTGCAAAAAAAATATCAAGCAATGAAATACATGAAATAAAGTGTGGATTTACATACTTGACAACAATCTTCACAGTCAAACTCGTGCAATATTTGAACAGATACTGTAAAACAATTTATCTTTTGCACATAATTTTTCTTTGTGTTTAGCCCTTTCTAACTGACTTCACAATAATATATTTTTACAAACTTAGTTGATGTTTTAAAGAAGAAGGTTTGATAAGGTATCTTTTTTTTAACCCTTGAGTTCAAATACATGTAACACAAAGAATTATAAATCAATGAAATAACATTCTCTGGACACTTGTAAGATATATATATCTGATTAAATGTCAGTAATGATATATTTGAGTTTTGTCAAACTATTCAAGACCTTTACAGTCTCACGCTTAACCACAGGCCCACCAGCCCAGTCTAACTTCTTGTAAAATTGCTGTTGGGCTGGTAAAAATCATCTCTACAGGCCAATAGAATCTAACTAAAATTATAGTAAAATTTAGCTTCTGGCCTGTGGATTCAAAAGTTTGTTGTGAAGACTGCCTTATTTAACAGATATATTTTGAAAGATATTAAAGTCATATGAAACTTAAAACTAAAAAAAAAATTAATATGTTTTATACTTGAATGGCTAAGTTTGACTATAAAACAAGTGTATATGAACTTTCTTGTAAAAGAAAATCCATTAAATTATCAAAATCTTCATTAATGTACTGCTATTGAATTATTGTTTTCCCGTACATTAATTCACCAATATTTTCCTGTATGCAGTGACCTTAACTACGAGACCTCTAGTTAGAACTTCTGCCAACGCACAGGGCAAGTGCGAGGGGAAAACTATGATGAAAAAATGTAAACAAAATGTGCACTGGAAGGTAAATAGTAATAACTGATTCTTAAAGAACAAATCATTTAACTTAACTGTTTAGGAAAAGTTTAATCAACAAATGAAAACGTATGGGCAATATAAAACAAAATATCATGGCTCTATCAATTCACTTATTTGTATAAAGGTGCTCGACAGGCTCTCCATTGATTGTTCATCAAAGTCACAATCCAGTAAACTTCGGCAACAAACTTGAAAATTAATTAGCTCGCGATCAACAATCACTGAATGAAATATCATTTTTCGATAAAATTAATATGTTATAGATTTGTATTTAATATCAAAAACGTGCATACATGAATTAGTTTAGTATACATGCATGCATTGGTTCAATAATTTTGATAACATTAAAATTACAAGAAACTCTTTTAATATGACTTTAAAAAAAACATGAAATGGAAGATAACTCATGTAAAAAAAAAAGTATAAAGTTTTGACAATAATTAAGTTTTTTTTGATACCTGATTTTGATCCTAAATATATGAAAACCTCTTTCTTTACTTTATTCCTATAGACTTCACACTTGTGATACACTTTATGACTCTGCCAATCATCTCTTTATACTCTTCCATTCTCTGAAAAAAAATCTTTTTTTATGAAAGACATACAACGTGAGGGTACCAAAATTGCACCAATTCTGACGGTTTTAAGTTTTGTTTGTCTATATTCTAAGAACATTTTGACAATAGTTAAGTGCTTACTATTCAGTTTGTACGAGATAGATGCCTCGAACATATTTTTATTGCTTATTTTAAAAAGTTTACTTTTTGTGGATGTCGCATGATTTAAATTTTTTCTCAGGATACTTCATTTGCTGATCGATATACAAGTGACATATTTGTGCATATTTGAATATATTTAGCCTTGTTGATAGACGTGCATAATGACAAATATAAAAATACAAATTGTTTATCCTCTAAGAGAACTTGTAAGATTCCGCTGTTTATTTTTTCAAAATAGGTGCAATTTGAATACTGTGACATTACAATACAATACAATAATTTTTTTGTCAATTAAAGCATATGGCATGGACCTACACTAGCGACTGTCTGTCGGAAAGCACCAAAGCAAGTATTATATAACCCCTTTTAAATAGGGATTCTGAGTCTTGAGCCTCAGAGACCGTCAAATCAGAAAATCACTCCTGACTCAGAATCCAAAAAGGAATTAAAGAATTATAGTGTTGAAGGAAGAGCTTTACATTCAACATGTTCAATATGTATTCCATAATCATATTAGCAGTTCGTCCCTGTCACCAAATAAACAAATTCACATGATTCAGACAATTTTGCATTTTTCAACACCTTGTAAGGCTTGTTTGTATACATGTATATCCAAAAATCCAAAGCCTTTGAACAAATTGAATTATATTTGGAATAGTTGAATAAGACGTTGCATGAACCGTACTATAATTGTTAACTGTAAAAATATATAAAGATGACATTTTTTGTTAACTATATCACATATAATGCCAGGGATACATAAAAAAAATTGGGAATATGTCTGTCCGCTGTCTGCTAAGTTTTTTTTTATTACCTCCCCTGTTCCAGAACAGATTTGGGTCTAACTATAGCCGGACTTAAAATCCCGAGCTAAACCCCAGATGCTTGGCATTTGATGCCATAACAGCAGTTTGTACAGAAAGACGTCACGACAACTGAATATACTTAAACGACTGGGGTCTATGTTATCGAGACTAAATAAACTGACAATATTTCATACTTTAATTATCAGTCCCTTTAATTTTTGTCCTATAACGTGGCACTTCTGCACGGACACTAACTCTAAGAAGTTAGAAAATGGCAGGAGAGAACACTCCGTTAATGAGGATTATACCTCAGCATATAAAACCCTTCTGGATGTGGCAAAGGTTACAACTCTGCATGTGATAAGATTCAGGATAATGGCACTTTATTGAGACTTACATGATCCTTTACGGTGAGTTTGAGTGACTAAATTAAGTCAATCTAAAGGACTCAAAATATAATTTTAGGTATAGCAACATCCTAGACATAGTACAGATAAGAACTAGAACATACGGTAATAGATCAGTTCAGATATGCGGCCGCTTCACTCTGGCTTGACTTACTACATATATGATAGCTTGCCAAACCATTTTAGGACTGAAAATAGATTTTCAGGCTCATCATTTTTAAGAGTTTGCTCCAGTCCTGGAATTGTTCTAAATGTCGTTGCTCATCCTGCAGATAGTTAAAATCTGCTTATGTTTGTGTCCTGTCACACTGTCCAATCTGGTTTCTCTGTACATAGTTATTTAAGCGGAGACTCAAAGAGGCGATTGCCACATGGGTCCCGCTTGGTTATATGTAAGTAAGCACACCAAATTTTTCAAGGTTTACAATTTGTGGTCTGGTTTCACTAAATATATTTTTATTTTTTTGCTTGATAAGACGCTTTTTTTTACAGTTGAATGTTTATGCTTCGTTTTATTTAGTTTTTAATTATCACTCAGATCTTCAATTTTAGAACTTTTATTATGTTTAAAGCGGCTCATACTCTTATTTTTAGTGCTTATTAATGTTTTTTTTTTTTTTTTAAATATATACTTCAATTTTTTTTTAGTAGATACACTTTTATCATACTTCAAATTTGCTTAAACATGTTAAACCAAGTCGTTCACTTAATGCAAATTTTGTGTATGAAATGCATGTTGTTATTATTGTTTTTATGTTATGTATATGTTTTTGCGTTCGATCATAAGCTCTCTCGAGCTTGTGTTGTATAGTTTTATAAATGCCGAATCACTCATTGAATATAAAATTTTCATATCTTATCCTATCAAATTAACAACATGCAATCAAAAGGTTCGTGAAATGGAAGCAAAGATCAATTCTGGAGTTTTAAATAACATTTTTACCATATTTGAGACTATATCGTTCTTTCTTGTTTGAATAAGGGCTGTGCAACTAACACTTCGACACATGTTATCATAGCTCAATATGGGGCATAATATAAATATGTACATTATGTCCAAGGCTCAATGTATACATATGAAAAATTACTGGAAAGTGTTTCATAAATTTAGGATTTATTAAGACAATCAATTAGACAGCCAGTGATCAAGAATCCTTATTGTTTGACTCTTTGTCTTTCAACAGAGACATGTGACAGATAACATATATATATATGTCCCTGCTTTCAGTGACCGCTGGTGTATGCAAAAATAACGTACATCACAACATGGATAGTATTGAACATAAACAAATTTGAAATAGTAGTGAAATTCTTTATAAAATCAACTTGAATTTTGGAGATAGAAGATATTTTCAATTACTAGTACTCAGTTTTCTCTAAGGGCGTGGAAAATCTCACTATACTGACGGTGATGTTACTGGAATACATGATCTTACAACTGGTGCTTTTTCCCGGAAAAAAAATGAGGTCTCAATATCTAATGACGCGTTTTCGTCCTAATGACACCGGGACAATTCATTCATAAAATCTAAATCGGATATTCCGTCTGAACAGGGTGAAAAGTAATTTGCAGTATTAATTAATGTAAAAGTTAAAAATTCCGATATAACTTATTGCGCCATACTCGTAACAATGTTGAAGAATACAAGGACCATAACTCTGGAATCGAAACATTTCAATCGATTCTGTGTAGAAGGTAGGTAAAATTATGATATTTTTGTCTCAGAGGACTTTCGGCGTATAAAAATTGAATCATGTGAATTTACTCCATAATAGTAAGTTCTTCTTGGGAACACTATCGATAAATGTTCCATTTCATTAATTTTCCCCTTGGGCAGGTAACTTATAATAACTTAGCATTGGAAATACTGTTGTAACAGATAATATTTCAAAAAGTTCCACAATGCATCATTTTTTTCAATAGATTCAGTTATATTGTGTTCCTATGGGGAACACTTTTATCATTAATAACAATTTCTATTACATTAAGGTTGTTTTTAGGATAATACAACTAAATGCGAATGGGGGGGATTTTTTTTTTTGGGGGGGGCAAAGAAAAATGAGACGAACGAGAACAACTGATTACATTAAATTACAATAGAATACAAATAATACAAGACATTGCAGCAACTCTATTAAATTGCCACACTAGATACTTTTAAGTATCATAAACGGATCACTTTCTGTACATTTTCACGCACTGTTATCCCTTTTTTATTTCATAAAATAATGGACATCAAAATATTTAGAATTCAACTGACGAAGAGGGATGTTTTTGATAAAGCAATATTGATTTAATAAAAAAATTAAAATCTGAATAACCACTTGATAGAGTACTGGAAGTATTATTTAATATTTTTTGTTATGTTTAAGATATTACTATCTTAATTTCACTAGTGTCAAGCTATCCAGCAATTCTCATCCTGCAATTCTCTTACGATAAAGCTATCCTGCAATTCGTCATCCTGCAATTGCGTTCGAAAAACAACCTGAGTGACAATTTTATTTTTTTTCAAAATCATGGTTTTTGACTTGTTTTGTTTGAAAAAAAGATAAATATCAAGTTTTTTATATCCCATTCACAAATTTCTAACTTTAGTTTACAAATTTCTATCTCATCTTTACGGTCTATAACTAGAATTTACAATTAGAAAAATCATGACGATTCACAAGGAGTTACATATCTGTGAAGTCCCGAATATGGTTCGTTTTTATGCATGTTTAAGAATTTCTTTAATAAGCTTTCTTAAAGGCCCAAAATTTCGTTCGAAACAAGGAATAAAGCCGAATTCTAAAAAATATACATTGCGGTACCCACTTACCGACCCATTGTTAAGGTAGTTCTCTATGGCTAGGGATTATAGACTCTGCTTAAATGAATAGCTATTATATAGTTCAACATTGGGATAGTAGAGAATTTCTGGGGTAAGCATTCTTAAAGGCCCAAAATATCGTTCGAAACACGGAAAAAAACCAAATTCTATAAAATACGCATTCGGGTACGCACTTTTCGACCCATTATTTCTGTAGTTCTTTATGGCTAGGGATTAAAGACTCTGCTTCAATGAATAGCTATTATATAGTACAATAACGGGAAGGTAAAGCTTTTCTGGGGTAAGCTTTCTTAAAGGCCGAAAATTTCGTCCTTAATATGGAAATAAAGCCAAAATCGATATAATACGCATTTGGTTATCCACTTTCCGACCCATTGTTTTGGTAGTTCTTTATGGCTATGGATTATAAACTCTGCTCTAATGGATATCTTTTGAATGTTACTACAACGGGAGGGTAAAGAATTTCTGGGGTAAACATTCTTAAAGGCCGTAAATGTCGTCCGAAACATGGAAATAAGCCAAATTCGATAAAATACGCTCAAGGGTCACCCACTTTCCAACCAATTATCTGGGTAGTTCTTAATGGCTAGGGATTATAGACTCTGCTTCAATGAGTAGCTACTATACAGTACTACATTGATATAATAGAGAATTTCTGGGGTAAGCATTCTTAAAGGCCGAAAATTTCGTTCGAAACACGGAAAAAAGCCAAATTCTATAAAAATACGCATTGGGGTACCCCCTTTCCGACCCATAAATTCGGTAGTTCTTTATGGCTAGGGTTTATAGACTCTGCTCTAATAAATAGCTATTGGATAGTACTACAACGGGAGGGTAGAGAATTTCTGGGGTAGGCTTTC